AGAGCATTTGGAGTTGTGTGACTGCCGGCACAGTCAGTTTGAGAGCATTCCATTACAGTCACTGAAGGAATCCCTGCTGTCATTCAGCTGGTCAGGCCCACTTGTCTCTATGGGCTTACCTACGCGGGATGTTCCAGTCACTGTGTAGCCTTTTGTTTGTAGTGGCCCAGCTTGTTTAGGTGGTGCCTGTGAGAACCTCACTGGCTCGCTCTTGGCTATGTGGTAACTCTGTGGTATTGCTTTGTTTGGTTCAACTGGTCTTCAGCAGGTGGATGTGTTCTTCCTACTTCTGACTGAGGGAGTGGTTATGTGACTTTGGTGCCACACATTTGACCCTTTGCATTTGGGCTCTAATACCCCTTGCCTGTTGTGGCATCACTGGTGACCCGTGCGTTCTGTTCTGATAGGAGCTCTGCATCTGTCTTTGGAGAGCTGTGCTCAGGGCTCACAGTGTTTGCAAGCTGGACTGATGACTTTGGTCTTCGCTCAGTGAGCAGTCTCTACACACACCATGCTTCCCAGATGTGTGCTTTGCAGGCGTTTCCTATGAGTTCTGTCATATATTTGTTTGGTCACAGGTATTGTGTGTCCAGGCCATTGGGGAGTTTGTCTCTGAGGTTCCAGTTTTGTGTCTCTGGCCTGTGCCTATCTGTGGACCCACACCACTGTGCTGAGATGTCTATGACTCTGGTCATCTCTGAAAGTGGGAACACTCTGTTTCAGGATGGTTGTTGCTTTTCTAGGTCCCTCGGGTTTCTGTGTATGCTGTTTGGAATTGGCTTGTCAGTTTCTACAATTCAGGTGGTGTTGGCTAGGCCACTTGAGAGATTCTCCATCTTCCAGCGTGGGGACCTTGGCTGGAAACATGGGTCTCCTTTCTCTGGTGCCAGTATTTTCTCTATTAACATGGCTGTATTCTTAGGGAGCATGTGCTGTGTCCATCCTAGTTACTGTGACAGGGCCAGTTTGTGGGTCCCTGTTCTGGAGGGCATCCCACGATGATCTCTGGCCCAGCCTGGTGCAGGGGGTGGGGTTGGGGGGGGAGTCCTGGCCAAGGGGACAGATTGCCAGTAGGGAGGGGGAGTCGCCTCCGATGCTGTCTCTGCTCACGTCTCCACTGTCGACGCCCAGTCACTCCCAGATGCTGCACCTGTCCCTCTGTGCTGAGCTGGTCCAGTCCAGGCTGGGCCTGTGAGAAGCCGGCAAGCTAGCAAGGAGGGGAGGGTCCTGAAGGCGCTTCGGGAGAGCAGATCTCTTCCCAAGTGTTACAGCTCTTGTGACAGAAACTCTTGGAAAAATGGGATGATTCTCACACACCTTTACTGCTCCTGAATAGAGCCCTTATATACAGTTTTGGGGTGGGTCAGGGTCTGGCAGCAAATAACGCCTATTGGCTTGGTCTGAGAGCTTGGAGATACCTCATCTACATGTGGGAGAGCCTGAGGCACTGTTCCTACGTGGCTGATGGCCATAGACCTCTCTGTGGGAGGGGCTGTGGAGGGCTGAAGCTAAGTGAAAGGAACCAGGAGCTGGGAGCAACACTGAATGCCTTCCATCCCGTCAGGGTCCGGGGTTCGAGGCCTGTGCTAGACCAGGCGCCCAGCTGCCTTTCACAGCCCACCGCCCTGCAACTGTTTCCTTAATTTAGGGGATGTCCATTGCTGGAGTGTGGGAACAAGATGGCGTTTAGCCCTGCTGCAGTGACATTGGAGCCTTGGCCAGTGTTGATGGAGTTGGGGAGTGCACAGATAGTGGGGACAGATCCAGGCCCACAGTCTCAGTGTGCTGCCCCTTACCCTGGGGTCACTGCGGTACAGTGGGACCTGCTTAGCCTCAGAACTGTCCTCTCCCCAGCCACTGGGCCCTCGAGTCCAGCTTCACTCTCTGCTTTGTTTGTTCTGGTGTTTTCTGATAAGAGGGCTACAAGTGTATCCTATGTCTGTATCTGTCACCAAACCCCATGTTTTCAAGGTCCCTTCACCCTGGAGCTATGGTTGGACAGTCCCAGGCTGCTTCCCCTGGAGTCCTCAAGGTTACCCAGTGGCCAGGCTCTCACCCAAGCCTCAGTAGCTGCGTGAGGTCTGTCTCTCTTCCATTGCAGGCCTCCTCTCTGGAGAGGCAGAGTCCTCGTGTGGCCTCCTGCCTTGTACACAGCCTGTGTCCTCGGGAGCCCAGCTTGCAGACCACGGCAGGTACTACCCCTCTGTCTCAGATCTCCACAGGCAGAACTCTTTCTTAGCAGGACCCAGGCCGAGCAGGCATGGGGCCAGGAAGGCCCAGTGTCCCCTGTCAGTTGGAGGTGTTCACAATGGTTAGGGCACTACCTATCCTTGGAGCTGTGGGATAATGTTTAGCTAACCACAAATGATCAAGGAAGGCCCCCCCTTGAGGCGGCTGCTTGCCTGGTGGCTCTAAGGTGTTGAGTAGTCTTCTGCTGTGGTCCCAAGAAGGTGAAATGTTAGAGGCTTCTGCCCCCGTAAACATCCCATGACTGTGGACCAGTAGATAGCAGAACTGGGCGCTCCTGCAGTGACCTGCATGGCGTTGCCTGTGTGCCTTCGTGTGTATATTGGGAGCCAAGGTTGTGGCTGTGGGGCCAGACCCCTCCATGGCTTTCCACTGTTACCTGATTGATGGCTCTCGTCGTCTTGACTTAAATGTCCTTCTAGACCCGTGTGCTCCTGCCCAGTCTCTGTGCCCTCCAGACCTCCTCCCATCCGGTCCACATACCCTTCCAGATCCAGTCAGGCAGACCTCACTGCTGGCTCTCCAGACCTGTCTCCATTCAGATCCCACACCCTGCCTACCTGCCGAATCCTTCCATAGTGGTATCCATGGGCTCTGCCGACCATCAGTTCAACCTTGCGGAGCTCCTGACACAGAACTACAACCTCCAAGAAGGGTGTGCTGAGGCCCCACAGTGTCCTGACAAGCCGGAGGAAGAGCTGGACAAGGACTTCATTGACCAGGTATGGGGACTCACCAGACCGTGTCCGGTTGCTCTCCTTGGGCTCCATGTGGTCCAGCCTCAGAGCCTGCTCTGTTCCTCAGAGCTTTGGCGATACTCAAGCCTGTGGTTTGTCTGTCCTGCTCACCTCCTTGGTGGTCCTGATGCGGGTGTACTGTCCCATGGGACCTGGCCTTGGAGGTTATTGGGACTCGGGCAGAACCATAGGCATCATCCTCTGATGGGCCCTGTCCTCCTTTGCAGAGCAGTGACATGCCCCTGGACGAGCTGCTCGCACTGTATGGGTATGAGTCGTCAGATCCCATCTCTGAGCAGGAGAGCGAGGGCGGTGACACGGCTGCAGCCCTCCCGGACATGACCTTGGACAAGGTGAGTGGGAGGGATGCCAGGCCCTGGATGGGGGAACTACTCTGTCAGCAAGTGTGAGGCCAGACCCAGGTTCGGTCTCCTCCTCTGTCCTCACTAGCATGACCATGGCAACCCTGCCCTGGGTTGGCCTGACACCCATTCTGGTCTGGGCGATGGACACCATCCCCGGGGACCTGTGGCTGGGGAAGGAGCTGGAGCCCCAGAGGGCAGGCAGAATCTGCACCTTGGTCAACACAGATGGTGGCTTAAGCTGGCCGTCTCTGTCCCCTTCACCCCGGCAGGCTTGGCCTTTTGTGTTGGTGTTGGGTGTTGGTAACGCAGTTGCCACACTTCGTTTACTGTCCTGTTCAAAGGAGCAGATAGCAAAGGACTTGCTTTCTGGGGAAGAAGAGGAAGAAACACAGTCCTCCGCTGATGACCTCACCCCATCTGTCACCTCCCATGAGGCCTCGGACCTCTTTCATAACCAGAGTGGGTGTAGGTGTCACTGGCCCTTCTGACATCATGGCTGTGTATCACATAGGCACACACACATACACATGGATTGGGCTTGGGGGCTTTGCAAGGGACATACCATAGCGGCCCAGGGTGGGGTTGGGGTCACTGAGTGGGTGTGGATTGAGTGAGACAGGAGTGGGTCTCTGCCTAGTAGTTGAGGGCTGGGGGCTTTAGACTGTCAGGTGCCCTTCAGGGCAGCTCTAGTAGCTGGGTGGTCGTGGTGCAGGGTGGGGGCTGCAAGATGAGTTGCCATCGAGGGCCCCGGGAAGGGCCAGCCGCACCCTGGTGGGTGCCTCTCACTGCCTCTCTGTCTGCAGCCTGTTTCTTGGCTGGTGATAACGGCCCAGGCTCCTCAGCCTCCTCCGACACCGAAGAGGACACGCTTCCTGTCAACAAGTGCAAGAAGGTGTGGGGCTCCGTGGTTATTCCTCCATCACCCTTTGCTGGCAGGATCCCTTGGGCTTGGAGAACTGTCTCTGAGACAGGAGGGCCCTGTGGCTTCACTGGTGGGTGGACCCCACTGTGTGTGTGGACCTGGACTGTGCTTCTGCTGCTGTGGGGATGGCTAAGCCGGTGATGTGGCCCAGTGTCCTGCACTGGTGTGGAGGTGACCCTGACGGCAGCAGGTGTCCTGTCCATCCACACAGTGTGGAAGTAGGCGTTGGCAGGCAGACCCACAGCTCTGTGTGACAACCTCTGCCTGAAGCCCATGGTGCCCTTGGTGTCCTAGCTTTGTGTCTGCTGGTCACTTCCTGATCCTGACCCTGGGCTTTGTCTCTTCAGGAGATCATGGTGGGGCCTCAATTCCAAGCTGACCTCAACATCCTGCACTTGAACCGACATTGTGACAAGAGTAAGTGTTTCAGGAGACCTAGTAGGGTCCTGCTCAGGAGCCCCAGGAATAGCTGGCATCTTTGAAAACTCCTGCTTTCTGTCTGTGGGTGGAGTTCACCATCCTTAGCCCAGCTCTAGGGTTACAGCCCTTGGCCAGGCCATGGTTCCCACCCCCACCACCCTCTGTCTCTACTGTACCACCAACAGTGGCCCTGAGTGGGCCTGCCCTGGAAACCATATACTTACTGCTCCTGTGCTCCCTATTTGTTCCTTCATCTGGGAGGTCACTTCCTGTTAGGACTTTTTGCCTCAAGCAGAGCCAGGATCGCCATAGAGCATTTCCTGCAGTGCTCAGCAGCTGGGGCCAGGGACCTTTTAGGGGCTGAGTGCCGGGATGTAGGCTGTGCAGGGTGTGCCCACTTAGCTACAGGCTCACAGACACCCAGGGTGGGACATAGAGACAGGTACACAACACAGTACCTACATGTAGCTCATTGTGTCCGTGAGCCCAGACCTGGTGGGCCTTCTGTGGCCGTGTCTCTGTGGACTGCCCACAGAGTGTATGCTGCTTGTGTGTCACTGCCAGGTATTCCTTAGTTGCACGTTCATTTCTTGGTTGGTGTCGTGTCACGTCGTCCCTAGTTGGGTGGAGAGTTCCCCAGTGTGCAGGTATTGCAGGTGCTGCCTGCCTTGTCAGCCCTGCTCTGCGGGCCTGACCCTGCTCAGTGCCCTTCCGGGTTTGTGGTAGTTATTTGTGTGTTTGAGACACAATCCTGGGTGGCTGCTGTTCCTGCCTGCCTTCCTGATGTCAGCATGGCCTCCATCTTCTGTCCGTTTGTTCAGTGCCTGGCCGGTTCTTTGAGGGTTGTTGTGTGTGTTATGTCATTTGCTGGGGACAGTTTAGCTTCTTTATTCACATTTTTTATACACACACTGTCTACACTCTATGTATGCATGCATGTGTGTACATGCATTCACATGTGGGGACCAGAGGACACCCTGCAGGATTACTCTCCTATGTGGGTTCCAGGGCGAAGATTGAGATTGCTGGGCTTGGTGGCCAGCACCTTACTTGCTGCGCCATCTCGTTTCTTTTTCTTGTCTCACTGTACTTGTGGGGCCTATTGAGGGTGAAGATGGAGACTTCTCACTTACGCCATGCTCAGACAGTGAGTGCTCAGAGCTGGTGCCTCGGCAGAGGGAGAGCCCCTCTGTCCAGCTGCCGACCTCAGCAGAGAATGAGTTGTTGGTGTCCAGTTTGCGCTCCGGATCAGGCCAGTGTGGTAAAAGGCACCCTTTTCTGGGTTCCCCGCTGAGGGGCCGGCCTGCATTCTGGAGCAACCCTGCCAGGAAGGGTTGTCCTCCACAGGCTGCTTATGGTCTGCCTTCTCATAGCTGTGTTCTCTAAAGCTCCAAATGATGCTTGCTGTGCGTTCATGTATGTGCGTGACGGAGGCGTGTCTCCTTCCTTCTGATAGCTGCTGTGCCCTATGCTTATGTCTGGTGCCTTTTGTTCTCTGTACTTGCCTCTGAGCTGTGGAGGGGCAGTGGTATTGTCCATGAAGGCCCCGTAGAGATTTCCTGGTGGAGCCGTGTTGTGGAGTGGGGCAGATCACCAGGAGTGTCTTAGCCCCTGCTGATCGCTGCTGTGACAAATGCCTGGGAGGAAGGGCAGACTTCACTCGTGAATATGTGTCTATTCGAATGCACACACGTAAGATAATCTATTTTGGCTTACAGTTTCAGATGGTTGATTCTTAGTTGTTGGCCCATGTGCCCAGGCAAAAGAATATGGCATGGGGGGCATCTGGCAGCGGGGATACCTCATGGTGGACAGGAAGCAGTGTGAGGCAGGCACCTGGGGCCAGGTATAACCTTCACAGGCACATCCCAGGGACCTGGTTACCAAATTTGGCTCCTATAAATGCTGCATAGCTGGTGACCCAGCATAAGACACATCCGCTTGTGTCTGAGGGAGACCCTACATAGTGAACCCCAGCCACATGCTCAGCTACGGACTCTAGGGACATACTTCCTCTTAGAGCTCTAGGCTCTAAGAGGAAGCAAAAGCATGCATACAGATGGATTGAAGTGTAAGTGGAAGGGTCCAGGGAGCCCAGGTCTGTGCTGGGCAGCAGAGGGTGGTCACCATCCATGTGTTCAGTCTTTGCCTGCTGTAGAATTGATATGCCGGGCGGTGGTGGCATACGCCTTTAATCCCAGCACTTGGGAGGCACAGGCAGGTGGATTTCTGAGTTCGAGGCCAGCCTGCTCTACAGAGTGAGTTCCAGGACAGCCAGAGCTACACAGAGAAACCCTGTCTCGAAAAACAAACAAACAAAAACAACAACAAAAAAAAGAGAATTGACATGAATGGCTTTCTCTTCCATGCCATCTTGTATGTGCTCACGGGACAGTGGCCTACAGTCAGTCTTTTGTTCTTTGTCAGGTGTTAACAGCAGGTTATACTGCCCTGTGGAAGTGTTGAAGTTGCTTTTCTTCAGAGTAGGGCAGAATCTGTGAGTGCGTTCACAAAGTATGTGTTAGATAGTTTTTCAGCAAGACTGTTTGGGCCTGTGGTTCATTTTGATTTTACTTGTTTTGATTTTTGGTACAAATTTTCTCTTTATAGCCCTGGCTGTCCTGGAACTTCTATAGACCAGGCTGGTCTCGAACTCCCAGAGATCACCTGCCTCCTCCTCCTGAGTGCTCAGATTAAAGATGTGCTCACCATGCTGTGTTTGTATGAACTGTTAAATGACAGATTCAACTCATTATTCGTGGACTTCGGTCTGCATGTTCTGTTGTCTTGTTTGTTTGTGTGTTTCATTTTCCTCTGTTGAGACAGGATTTCTTGTAGTCCAGGCTAGCCTAGCACATTCTAGTATGAGACTGGCCCTGAGCTGATGCTCTGGCCAAGGTCCTCGAGTCCTGGCATCATAGGCGGGTGCCACGGCTTCCTCTGGGCATGCTCTGTTGCTTTGCCCTTTGTTCCTGCCCTTGTGTGCTGTGTGCTGGAGCTCTGTCTGCAGATGGCCACACTGAGTGGCACCATCTCTGATGTGTCCTTTGTGTTTGTGACACCCTAAGAGGAGGTACAGCCCCTCCAGAATCACCTGTGACCTGCTGGTGGATTCATTCCACTGACTTCACACCCCAATTGTGTCATCTGCACACTGCATCCTGACTTTTCCCCGAGTGCCCATTGCCGGCTGCATCCATGTGTGATGCTGAGCTGCAAGTGTCTGGAGTCAGTGCTACCCACAGGGAGGTGCCCAGGTGCCTGCCCAGCCGCCTCCACTGTGGGTGGCCACTGCCACTCCTGACTCTCAGTCTCTCTCCACAGTCTATGAAAATGAAGACCAGCTGCTGTGGAGCCCCAGCGTGCTCCCGGAGCAGGAGGTGGAGGAGTTCCTCTACAGGGCAGTGAAACGGAGGTGGCAGGAGATGGCTGGCCCCCAGGTCCCAGAGGGCGAGGTGGTGAAGGACAGTGAACAGGTAGGGGCCGCACGCTGGGCAGCAGCCAGGGGATGGTTGGTCAGACAGTGTGGCCAGTGTCATGGAGCTCACATTGAACCCAAATGTGAAGGACAGTGGTGTCGGTGATCCATGTCACTCCTGGTGTGACAGTGCAGGCACTCCTGACAGCTGTCACGGCCAAGGTGTGGACACCACTGTAGCTGTGGGAGTCATGCTGTGGGCCAGCCTCTGGCCCTAGGGCCATGCTGTGGGTGCAGCCTGTGGCTCTGGGGCCATGGTGTAGGTATGCTCTGTGCTAGCCCTGGTAGACTGGCGGGAAAGGTCACCCACTCTCTGCCCCAGGCGCTGTATGAGCTTGTGAAGTGTAATTTCAACGTGGAAGAGGCCCTGCGCAGGCTGAGGTTCAACGTAAAGGTGATTCGAGGTGAGCTACAGCCCTGGGCTCCCCTCCTGTCCCTGCTGCCCCTGAGATGGCTGAGCAGTCCCTCTGTTTGCAGACGGACTTTGTGCCTGGAGTGAGGAGGAGTGCAGGAACTTTGAACATGGCTTCCGTGTTCACGGGAAGAACTTTCATCTGATTCAGGCCAACAAGGTGGGTGAGGCGTCCTCTCCACACCGCCCCTGCCCTGCCCTACCTGTGCATGGCTTCCTTTGGTCTTGACTGTGTTCATCAGACGCCTTTACCACCAATAGAGATCGCAGGCTCCTGTGCCTGAGCTCGCTCCTTCCTACCCCACCCCACCCCACCCCTTGCTTTGTCCTGTGACCTTTGAGTCCTCAGTGGAGCTTGGTGGCTCAGTGCTCCACGCTGGAGATAAGGGCTGCCTGAGCCCTTTGTAGGCCCAAGTCCCCTGTGGGAATTTGTCCTGCTCTGGGCCGACATTCCACGCTGGCCTCAGCTCTCTGTCTTTTCCCTTGTCCTTGCTGGTTGTCAGGCTTTGTCAAAGCTGACAGGCCCAGCTCTGTTTCTAGCCTTGAACCTTGAGACCTGTTCACCCTAGGGTGTTGGTGTCAGCTGTGAATGGTAGTGCAGGGGTGAGTTTTGGACCCAGGGTATCACTGGATTGTTACTTGATCTGATTGTACCTACAGTTGGCCAGATGCAGCACTCAGCCATGAACTGTCAAAGCAGGAGTGCGTCTGCAAATCCAGGGGCTTGGTACAGTCTGGTTGGGCTCCTCTGATGACGGACTGTGCACCTATGTAGGATGAGTGAGGTGTAAAGGCCTGTGAGCCTGGCCTCCCTCCATGACCTGCTCTCCAGAGGCGGCCTGGCCTCTGGGAAGGGTGGGTGTCCAGACACTGGGTATCTACAAAGTACTTTGTCCTGGGCAAGTGGCTCTGTGAGTCAGGGCGTCTGGTCGGAGGGCCCATGTACATGTTGGCGGGACGCTACAAGAGACATAGAAGTTAAGAATGCTGCAGGTTTTAGTTTGGCATAGCTCTGGGATTGCAGATGCATGAGGCATCTGAAGTGAAGGAGCTGATGACCATGGGATGATTCTGTGTCCTGCCTGTCACTTCCCTGTCACTGCGCCTGTGTCCTGTGTCACTTCCCTGTCACTGCACC